AGGCCGGGCAACAGGAGCGGATCCCGCCTGCACAGGCGGAGGAGGCGCCAGCGTCGGAGGCGGTCCAGACGGGGGAGCCGAAGAGGCGGGAAGGGCCGACTGGCCCTGGACGTCAGTGGTGGCGGACCCCTCCGGCTGGACCGCCACACCGTGAGCAACAACCGCCCGCTCGGCGGCCACCGACGGAGCGGCGGGATCGGCAGCCAGAGGAGCGCCAGACGGAGCAGTCACATCAGACGCCGCAGCGAGAGGGGCAGGCGGCTCGACAAGAAGAGGTGCAGGCAGTGAGGGAGCCTGGCGACCATCGTCGCCAGGCAGAGACGCCAGATCCTCGCGAAACGACGGTGCGGGGCGAGGAAGGATTTCAGCGTCTTCTGTCACGGGCTTGGGAGCAGGCAGCATCGGGGAGCCCGTCGGCGTGGTCCCCGTTCCGGAGGCAGGCGGTAGCCTTTCGAACGCAACCAACGCAGCGCCAGCGCGCATTGGCGAATAATCGGTCGGCCCTGCAATCACCATCGAGGGGCCGAGGAGGGCGAGGCAGAGGGAGAGTGACAGCTAGCGGTGAGGGAGGTGGACCAGAGAATGGCTTCCAAGCGGCGGGGCGTCGGGCTTTAACGGCACTGGAATTGGCTAATGCGGAGGAGGAGCGTGGAGATCCTTCTTATAGGGAGGAGCCGCTCCCCCTGAGTGAAGACGACGAGGACGAAGGTGATGAGCCTAGAACGCTAAGGCCTGGGAGGCAAACTGCTGAACGTGAGGCGGTTGAGGTAGGAGGAGCGCAACAAATGAATCGGACGGCTACGATTCCAACCCACGGACAGGTGCAGAGGAATCAAACCGCGCGCTCTGGCAGCGCGTCAGCAAATCAAAGACATTTCCCCCACTACTTCCCTCCAGAGGAATTGGCGAAACGAACAGACCTGTTCGCAGCCATCGATGATTGGGATTTGGCGCCCCTGTGCGACAGTCGTCAACCACCTCTGTCGCGCCGACTACCGCCCAATTTGTGTTAGCTGTTCTCGCTGGTGTTACTCACCCCGCTCCTTCACCTCGCGTGAAATCCGGACTCGGTCGCAGGGTGGCGACTGCTGCTGTTTCTTCCTCGGCTCACACTTCGCCAAATGTCGCCAAGAAGACCGAAGTGGCCCGAAGTCAAAGCCCGTCTCCGAGCTTTCCAGCGTGGCGAATGGGGGCAGCTGTATTCTGACGCAATAGAAGCCATCAACACCCCACCGCCTCCACGTCACCGGCCTGACGAGGCGGGAGTACTTAGCAGGGCGGAAGGCCTGGCCAAGCGTGGAAGTCTACGGCGAGCCGTGCTGGCCCTCGAGTCAACCCCAGTCTACACTCCAGGCCCCGCAATTCTGGATGAACTTCGCGCAAAACACCCCCGAGCCGACAACGAGGAGCTGAGCTGGCCAACAGCACCCGACCCGAACCTCCAGATCAGCCACGCTTCTGGGCCGGTGCGAAAATGGGGTGGGGACTGGACCGTCCGGAACCGCTTTCGAACACCTTCGCGACGCATCTGCAACCAACGCATCGGTCCGCACCCACCTGCATGCCTTGATCAACACTATCCTGACAGGCAAATTACCCGAGCCAGTGGCAGACCTGCTGACAGCGTCACGCCTAATTGCGCTGACCAAGCCAGGTGGGGGGGTTCGGCCAATTGCAATTGGCGAATGCCTGACGCGCCTCGCGGCCAAGGCAGCTCTGACCGCAATTAGAGAAGCTGCACGCGACCACTTCTTGCCACTACAGTACGGGGTGGCGGTACCAGGGGGAGCAGAGGCAAACATCCACGTCGCACGTGCCTTCGTCGACTCGAGGGACAGCTGCGTGGTGCTACAGACCGACATCGCAAACGCTTTTAACAGCATTTTGCGACAGGCAATCATCAACGGGTTACACGACAACAACCTTTCGTCACTGCTCCCTCTGGTGCGGCTAACGTACGGTAACCCATCAAAACTGTACCCCGACTCGAACTTCGCCAGCAACCCACTAAATAGTGAACGCGGCGTGAGGCAGGGGGACCCACTCGGCCCTCTTCTGTTCGCAGCAGGGATTCACCCAGCACTTCGCGAAACGGCCGACGCACACCCCCACGTTCTCTGCTTGGCGTATGCAGACGACGTGACATTTCTGGGGGACGACACAGACACTGTAGCAGCATTCAATTTCTTCACGAGCAAGCTAGCGCATCTGGGGCTTGAACATAACCCACAGAAATGTGCTGCATGGAGCACAAGCGGCGACGAGTCAACGCAAATGCCACCAGGGGTCCCATTTTCAAAGGACGGGATACGCCTTCTAGGCAGCTTCCTGGGGCCAGCGGCCAGTGCCGCCAAATTCCTTGCGGGGCAGCTGGAAGAAATGTCGAAGCCGATGCCGCTCTTAGAACGAGCCGACCCCCAAGTAGCTTCCCTGCTCCTGACCCGCTGCATTTCCAGACGCGTAGCATACCTCACTAGGACTACACCATTGAACCTCCTACCACGAGACACCTGGGCACAGTGGGGGAGAGACCTCCTTGCCGCGCTCCTGACATCCTGCGGGATTAGAGTCCCTACTTGTAGCACGGAGCAGTCGAGAGTGTGGGCGCAGGCCTCGCTTCCATCATCCTTGGGCGGCCTAGGAATCACGGACCCACTCGTAGAAGGCGTCTACGGCTTCGTAGCAAGCTTCACACAGGCCGCGCTCTTCTTTTCCTCCCTGAGGTTAGCACCAGAGACAGCACTAACCCGAGCACACAGCCACATGATTCTGCCCCGGGACGCCACCACACCGCTTCACTCCTGGCTCACAGAGTGCGAGACTGCCCTGCCCTCAGACGCACGCGACGTAGTCTACCAGGAGCGGCTCTATCGGTCGGACATCAAGCTCCAGCACACTCTGGCCCTGAAAGTACAGGGGAGTAGGTATGCGGTACAGGTCCAAGAGACGAGACGAATGAGCCTGAATCCACTCTCTGGGCACACACAGAGAATGTTCTCACTCACAGGCTACGGCACAGGGGACTGGCTGACGGCGGTACCGGTAGCTTCCTCACGTCGCATCGGCCCGGTACACTTCAGCAACGCCGTGCGATTCCGATTGGGCCTCCCTTTCTCTACTCCGAAGAAGTGTGAGTGTGCAGAACACATCGCTATCACAGACCCGCGTCTCCCCAACCACCTCTTCCGCTGCGGCACGGGGAAGCACCGGAGGAATACTCATAACGAACTCCGCGACGCGTGCATCAGCATGGCGCAAGACGCGGGGTTCATAGTACACAGGGAGACAAACGTCTACTGCCCCATAGAGGAGCAGACGGCTGATTTTACCATGACAGACAGAAGTAGTGGGGCGGTCTGGGTGTGTGATGTCACGGTCACAGATCCTATTAGCACCAGGGATCCGGAGGCACGGAAAGGCAGGGGATGGGCAGCCCGGGAGCAGGCGGATAAAAAGATCAAGCACTATGGGGGGGCCGCCGGATCACTCTCCAAATCCGGAAAACCGCCGGATTTGGAGAGTGACGGACCCCCGCCTCCCGAATCACCTTCTCCGCTGCGGCACAGGCAAGCATCGCATCAACACCCACAACGAGCTGCGCGATGCCTGTGTCAGCATGGCCCAGGACGCGGGTTTCATCGTTCACAGAGAGTCCTCAGCGCACTGCCCCGTTGAGGAACAGACGGCAGATTTTACAATGACGGACAGAAGCAGTGGGGCCGTCTATGTATGTGATGTCACCATCACCGACCCCATTAGCACAAGGGACCCGGAGGCACAGAAGGGCAGGGGCTGGGCGGCCCGGGAGCAAGCGGACAAGAAAATCCAGCACTACGCCTCCCTACCAGAGACGGTGACCTTCTTCCCCCTGGCTGTGGACACCTATGGCTGCCCGTGTGCGGAGGTACCAGCCTTTTTGAAGCTCTTAGCGGACACTGCAGCTCGGCGGCACTTCAACGCCGACTCTAAATCGTTCTATGCTGCAAAGTTCCTGCACCAGTTCAGGCAGCGCTGGTCTGTGGCCCTGCAAAGGGCCCAATCTGTAGGCCTCCTGCTCAAGCTTGGGGAGGTGGCGGCGGTTGAGAACCCGCCGGTGGGAGGAATTGGGGATGAGTTGCATCTAGGGGACTGCTTTGCAGTGATTGAGCCCCTCGTAGAGTTGTAGATCGGCGATGTTTGCAACCAGCATGCTTGTTATCTAGGCCACTATAACTTGCCTGCCTGTACTTGACTGCTATATAAATAAAAGGACCATTAGAGAGAGAGAGAGAGAGAGAGAGAGAGAGAGAGAGAGAGAGAGAGAGAGAGAGAGAGAGAGAGAGAGAGAGAGAGATGGCATAGCCTTAGTCCTTAGCCATTTCTAGGCCTCTCTTCTCTAGGATCTAGTCCTTAGCCATTTCTAGGCCTGTTTCCTTAGTATAAAGGCCCTGGATCTAGGCTAGTGAGCTCATTATTCACTGGTGAGTTAGGATCACTCTCCAAATCCGGCGGCTCGCGCCGGACGCCTTCAGCCGCGCGTGAGGTGTGACAAGGACTAGGGGGGACAAGTCTATAATCATGGAAGGCTACAACATGCACCAGTGATAATATACAACAACAAGGTCACCCCCAGGCAAGGAGATACCGCCATGGGGAAGCCCAAGGCCAGGCCTGTAACCAAGCAGGCAGGCACAGGGAGGAGGGCCACTACTCGGCCAGGATCCAACTCAACCGGCGGTCCATCCAGCGTAGCACGGATGCGGCAGCTGGTACCACGTCCCGTGGGGCCTTCAGGGCGGCAAGAACAAGCCGCCTTAGCGCAGCGGGACCAGGTCCCAAGGCGGCGCCAGGGGAGTCCGGGACCAGCCCAATCAAAGGCAGCATCTCCAACATCTGCATCGCCGCTGCCACTGCCTCCTCCTGCTCCGTTGCCGACAATACCGGAGGCACCTCCCCATGACGCATCTGCCGCAGCTGGAAAAGGTGCAGTTGGTCGAGGACCATTGCCAACAACGTCAGGCATGTCCCCACGTGCCCAACGCGCTGGGCGACGCAGTGGGCCCTGCTCCGCGGCGGGGAGCCCGGCGGCGAAATCCCCTCCGGAGACAGTGGGGGAGAGGGATCAGGATCGACAGGCGGAGGAGGAGACGATGGCAGAGTTGATGGCGGGGGTGACTGCACACCTGGAGCCTCCTCCGCCCTCAGATACCCCATCACCTCCCACAGGATTGGGATGCGCCTCCCGCCAAGAAACAGCTGCGGGCATCCCAACGGCGCTGGCGACGGAGCAGCTGATGAGGAGGGCTGAGGTGCAGGAGACGTCGAGGGGCGAGGCGTCGGCGGCGGCTGCGGTGGAAAGGGGAAACGTCGCAGCGGCGACTACGTCGGTGGAGATGGTGGGGGAAGCGGCTGCTGCCGCAGAGATGCCAGAGGAGGCTGTGACGGCATTGGGGCGGGCTGGCAGAACTGACGCCGTTTTTGGCGGCGGCTCAACTTCACGTTCTGCCAACCACCAGGGGGCACAACAGCAGACGCTGGAGCTGGGTCTGGCGGTGGATCGGGAACCGTCCGAGGCGGCGACGTTGTCTGCGTCACCAGCGCCGGTACCGGCAGCGGTGTTGGCTGCGGTGATGACTGCTGCGACCGCGGCAGGGAACCTGGTCGACGCCCCGATCGAGGAGGAGGCATCGGTGGCCGCTGTGAGTGCCGGAACTTCTGCTGCTGCCGAGGGCGCAGACACGCAGGAGCGCGACCAGGCGGCGAGCGGAAGACGGGGTCACGGGACCGGTGCCCCTGGACGCGCCGCTCAAGGGAGGGGCGGGAGGAAGCTCCGTGCCCAGCCAGCGCCGAGGCGGCCCGGAGCAGGGCTGGGGCCTGGCGCCCTGGGACCCCTCTGGGGCTGGAGTGAGCAAGAGCAGTCGCCACTATCGCCAGAGCGTTGATCTCCATCTGTGGGACAAGAAAGAGGGGGAGGCGACGAGGAAGCTGACGTCAGGCACGTGGCAGGTCACAACGCCCCAGAGGCAGCGACTACACAAGGCCCACAGCGGGAAACACGGAGCTCCACACGCTCACAAGGAATTACATGGGGCCGTCCGAGACTGGGACTGGCACACTCACCGTGGATCCCGGCGGGAAGAGCGCCACAGGACGGACGAGGGGGGCGGAACGATGAGAGCCGGACCGGGGAAGGAGCGCCGAGCCGTGGGGCCCGAGGAGGAGGACGCGAGGCAAGAGGGGGAAGAAGGGGCGGGGGCGCAATCGTCGGCAGAAGGGAGGCGCTTGTGAGATCAGGAACGTGGAGGGAACGCCATGATCGCCCGGAGCAGGAGGCGCCACCGACGAATCAGGAGGAGAGGGACACTGGGAATGGGGAGGACGGGGGGGATTATGTAGCCGAGACCCCCGAAACCTCATAAGAGATCTCGCTAGAGGAGGAGAGAGACACTACAGGAAGAGAGAGGGGATGGAGGGAGATTGGGAGAAACCCCCAGGACAGAAAACCCGATGCGAGAAACCCCCAGGAGAGAAACCCCCACGAAAGGGGAGAGATCAGAGTAGTGACGAGTGGGAGCCAGAGAGAAACCGGGCAACCCAACGTACAGTCACCGGCCGAGCTGGCGGCAAACGAAGCCATCTGGCAGCAGGCAGCCACGTGGGAAGTTACCCCACTTCAGCGGGGGGACCAACCTTTCTTGGTTCGGAGGATGCCCCCCAAAATTTTGGAAAGTTACACCCTCTGCGTGCTGGCACCACTCCTACGCCTGCAGAAATTTCCCGACTGTCCAGGTGCATGGGTGATCCTGCAATTCCTCCCGAGGCTGACCTTGCGGCCCCTTCCCGAACCAGTTCAAGGAAGTCGGTGGGTTGGGATTGAGGGAAGGCTGCACCGGATCCAGCAAGGCAGCTGGGCGGAACTTTTCGAGGAGGCTAGGGTCATCCCCGATACGGAGAACCCGTCACGCCACCAAGCGGATGACGCTGGACTCTGTGCTAGGGCGGAAGGACTTATGAAGAAGGGTAACATCTCGAAGGCAGTTGTGGCGTTACGCGCAACACCACTCGCCGAGGCCACACCAGCGACACTCACCGCGCTGCAGGCAAAACACCCCGATGCTGCATCGCCCCCGGCAATGTTCGTTTCTGGCTACACTCATTCGGAGCTGCGGGTAACACCAGACGACCTTCGCGAAATACTCAAGCGATGCCCGAACGGAGTGGGAGCAGGCCCATCAGGTACCTGCTTTGAACACCTCAAAGACCCTGCGCTCGCTAGTGAGGAGGTGCTCATACTCCTCACGCAAACTATCAGCTACCTGCTTAGCACCTTCTAGACGCAGGCGGTCCGCGATTTGCTACTACCCTCGAGACTCATCGCACTGGAAAAACTAGGAGGAGGCGTTAGGCCCATCGCGATAGGAGAAGCAATACTTCGCGTAGTGGCAAAGGCGGCTTTGAGGGAACTAGCACAGACCATTCGCGAATACATCCTCCCCGTTCAGTTTGGGGTGGCAGTCACAGGCGGCGCAGAGTGCATCGTCCACTCAGTTCGATCTCTGCTTAAGGAGGACGAGAGCCGAGTAGCGCTACAGCTCGATATCGAGAACGCCTTCAACAGTGTCGAACGGCCGGCGTTCTTTCAGGCGCTCTCACAATCGAGCTTGTTATCACTCCTACCCCTCGTACGCACGCTTTACGACGACCCGTCCAGGCTTTTAGTGGACCACAAGCTGGGCGTCGATCAGATCATGAGCAATCGAGGAGTCCGCCAGGGTGATCCGCTCGGTCCGCTCCTCTTCGCAACGGCAATCCAACCGACACTTCTGAGCACGGCAACGCTACTCCCCGAGGTGGCGATCGTCGCCTACGTTGACGACATCACCATTGTGGGCCCTCGGGACACGACCTATGAGGCTTTCGTCACCATCACACGGGAGCTCCGATCGGTTGGCCTCCGCTGCAACATCGCCAAGTCCTCGGGGTGGGGACCGGATACGGAAGGGGGGAATGAGATCCCACCACCACAGGGCCTGCCCATGAACACCAACGGCATCGGAGTTTTGGGAAGCCCGATCGGCACGCCCGAGTTTTGTACCGACAAGGCACAGACAAGCCTCACAGAAGCGGCCGCACCACTGCCCCCGATTGCTCAGCTGCACCCACAGCACGCTATGCTAATACTCTCGAGGAGCATCTCCCGCAGAATATCGTACCTGCTGCGGACCACCCCGGCTACAGTGCTGGAGAGGGAGGAGTGGAGGTCGTGGAGCGAGACTCTGATGGCGACAGCCCTGGCGGCGGCAAAGCTACGGGTCCCAGCGAGTGAGCTAGAACAGAGCCTGTTGTGGCGGCAAGGAACCCTACCCGTCAGGCTGGGGGGGCTAGGCATCATCGACCCTACCTCGGAGGCACCGGCAGCCTACATCGCGTCAGTAATGGCAGCCCACACCCTACTGCGGCAGATGAACCTGCCAGAGGCGTTCCTGCTGAAGAGGGCGGTCACACGGCTCGACCATGCATGGAGCCCTGCCCCACCTGAAGTTAACCAGCTGGCCCCACTGGAGGCAGCTCTGCCGGCCTCAGCACGAACCGCACTACAGGCGTTCAGGCAGCGGCCAGCAGGACAGGGTAACCTGCAGCTACTACTCTCCCGCCACATCTATGAGAGGCGAGCAGCGGAACTACTGGCTGACACGATCAAAGACCGCCCAGGCGCATACCGCGGGCACGCCATCCGCCTCATCAGCCTACAGGGGGTGGGGGCAGGGGACTGGCTACACGCTGTGCCTTTGAGAGCTGACCTTACATTTGCTCTTGGTCAGTTCTCCTTGGCGCTGGGGTTCCGCATGGGCATGTCCATGCCGGTCACTGAGAAGTTTCCCTGCAAGAGAGAGTATTCAGACATCAACGACACGAGCCTGCCAAACCATCTCCTTAGGTGCGGGTATGGGGGCGACGTTGTTAGAACGCACAACGCGCTAGTGTTTGCAGCCCTCAGGATGGCAAGGGAAGCGGACTTCACGTGCTTCCACGAGACATCAGCCTTTTCCCCACCGATCCTCAAGAAGAGGGGAGACATGGCGATTCGAGACAGGAAGTCAAACGAGACCTGGGTTACAGACGTGACAGTGACTGACCCTGTGCTCCAGCAACGCGACACCAGGGCACGGAAACCACCGGGGTGGGCGGCTGAGGAGGCCTCGGCTAGGAAGCACAGGGAATATGAGGATCGGCCAGACTACGTCGGCTTCTTTGGCCTCGCGGCTGAGACGTATGGGGCTCTGTCCTCGGACACACAGGAGTTCCTACGGCTACTGGCCACCTCAGCAGCCAAGAAGAAATACCGCCAGGGGAAGTTGACAACGACGACTGCACAGGAGACGCGCCTGGAGGACTTGCTTGACAGCGGCATGGTTGGCAAAATCTTTAGCGAGGAGCACCAAGTCATCGACGTAGGCAAGAATGTAAACCTTGTGGGGGGGGGGGGAAGTGCGAATGAAGAGGCTGGGATCGGAAGAAGAGGTGGAGAAGCCAAGAGAGTGAAGAGTGGAGGCAAGCTTAGCATGCCACTTGCGTGGGGCCTGCTTAAGACCATACACTGGGCGCTTCAGCTCCCAGACAGTGCCTAGAGGGAAAGGGCAAGGAAAGACAGCGGGGCGCTCAAGGAAAATGCACTCATGAAGCTTGCCTTGGAGAAAGGCATTGGAGACATCCATAGAGTGAATCTCCCAATTCCAGCGGGCGCCCAGATCAAGAAGGAGGCGAAGAGTGGGGAGACGGGCAGTGGGGGAGTAAGTGGCAAAGTATTCTATGCCTTCACGTTGGGTGAAGCCTTTGGCGCAGTAACGGGCTTTGAAGACAGGGAGCTCCCCAGGCAGCTGTTTGACACGAAAAACCCATTTTCCCTTCATAATGGTGGCGCCAGGGGGGGGGACAGAGTCAACGTAAGAGTGAGTCCTAGTGAATGCCTCACACACGGCAATGATGGCAGCCATCCACTCAGTTGCATGAAAGCCAGATACTGCCTCGGAATAGGTATGAGGGGTGGGAATAGCGGCAGTGTCAATGGAGAGAAGAGTGGGAGAATTGGAGAAGTCGCCAATGGTGACAAAGAGGAGGGGTGAAACAGGATGAACAGAGAAAAGCTCCTCAAAGCGAACTTCGAGAAGATCAACGTTCTGAGAGGGAGAGAGATCAGTAAAGAGAGCAGAGTGTTGAAAGTTGGACATTGCATGGGTCATGGAGCGGTGAGACGTGGAGAGGGTGGGGGGGCAGGTGCAGAAGGGAGGGTAGCAGAAGGAGGTGATGAGGGAGGGGCCATGGGAACAGAAGATGAAGAGGCAGGAGGAGAGATGCCAGAGATGATAGCGGAGGGGGGAGTGGAGGAGGCAGGTAGGGGAGGTGGAGCAGGGGCAGGAGGAAGGGGAGGAGGAGAGGGAGCAGCAGAAGGCAGTGGATCAAAGTCGGACCAATGGAGAGAGGGAGCAGGTGGGGTGGGAGGGGGAGTGAGGAATGGATGTCATCAAATATGACATCCTGGCTGCGAATGAGCTGCTGAGAGGAGGGAGCATATAAATGGTAGCCAGGACAGTCAGATTTGATACTAATAAATGCACAAAGCTGCGTCTTGGGAGCGAGCTTCCCACCCTGACGCGCCCGATCAGCGGGATTGATGAGGACATGAGTGACACAGCCCCACACTCGAAGAGGGCGGGCAGAAGGCTGGCGGCCAGTTCAGAGGTGTAATGGAAGAGCGAACGGGATGAGGGCGAAGGTTAGAAAGAAGAGTGGCGTGAACAAGAGTGTAGCTCCAGAGAGAGTGGGGAGCAGAAGCATGCGTAAGGAGACAGCGGGAGATCTCCGTGAGAGTGCGAATATGACGCTCGGCAACACCATTCTGTTTAGGAAAATGCGGAAGGGTGGAGGTTTGGCGAATGCCATGAGAGGAGCAGTAAGAAGAAAGAGAGTGGTTAAAGAACTCGCCACCACCATCAGAGTGGAGGCGCGCGACAGGGCGGCCAAAGCGAAGACGCGCCTGCTCAGCCCAGCGAATGATGAGGGAGGGGGCGTCATATTTGGCACGGAGGGGATAGATAGTGGCAAAGCGAAAATGGTCATCGACGAGAAGAAGAAAGTAGCGATGACCCTGATGGGAGGCAATGGGAGAGGGACCCCAGAGGTCCATATGCACAAGATCAAGGGGTTTGGGGGAGTCAGAAGGGGAAGAAGGGTGAGGAGATTGGAAGAGCTTGGCTTGAACACAAGGGGTGCATGGAGGAGTAGGAGAGGGGGGAAGGGGCGGGAGAGAGGAAGGGAGATCATGAAGCAGCTTCGAAGTGACCATGCTGCGAAGGAGAGGGAATTTGGGGTGGCCAACACGATGATGGAGAAGTAGAGTAGGTTGGGTGAGAGAGCGACAGTCGCAAGAAGAGATGGGAGGAACAGAAGAGGATGAAGTGTGGTGGACAGACGAGGGGATGGGGACACGAAGGGTGTAGAGGCAATTTGTAGGAGAAAGGGTGAAACGAGCGAGGTGACGGTCGTGATAATGAAGATCACTGTAGAGTTCACCAGCGGGGAAGAGTCCTCGCACACCCAGGCGTTGGAGGGCAGGGAGGGAAAGGAGGTTATGACGGCAAGACGAAACATACAGGCTAGTAACAGCGCCAGAGGGAGATGCAAGACAGGGAAGAGAAGAGGTGCTAGTGCAGATCATGGTCATGGTCTCCCCAGCCCCATGAATGGAGAGGGGACGAGGAAAATTACGAATAACACCGGCATCACGAAAGACAAAGTTAGTAGCAGCACTATCAAGGACAAAATCCAAGGTGCGAGGAAGTGAGATAGCGGCAGCTGTAGGGCTGGGTGAGTGAGAAGTAGTGCTTTGAAGAGGTGGACGAAATGGAACGACAAAGCGAGGGTTCATAAGAGGAGAAGCACCAATGATGCTATCCTGAGATGGCATGGTCACACTGAAAACAGAGGCCAGAGAACCAATACCAGAGGTTATAGTGGCAAGAACGTCCAGGGCAAAAGAGCGAGGACGCCGATGGGACAGCGGAACCCAAGCATAGGGGTGGAGAGGGAGGGGAGTCCAGCGGCAAGTAGGAGAGGTGGTGAAAGGGGAGGAAGGGGCAGCAAAAGAAGCGGAGGGTAGGGAAGGCAAGGGTAGGAGAGGAGGTACGGTGGAAGGAGTGTGCGGGCAGAAGCGCAGAGGAAGAGAGGTAAGAGCGAGAATATGCGCCATCGGGGGGAGGGGATAGCAATGGAGCAGATGTGGGGAGACAAAAGAGGAGGAGGGATAACAGCGGAGTACTCTGCTGCTGAGCTGTTGAGGGGAGAAATAAGAGGAGGGAAAACGGTGGATTAGTCTGCTGCTGAGCCGTTGAGGGGAGAAATAAGAGGAGGAGAGAAAACGGCGGAGTATTCTGCTCCTGCTGCGCTGCGGAGGGGAGAAATAAGAAGAGGAGGGATAGCGGCGGAGTAGTTTGCTGCCGCGCCGCTGAGGGGAGAAATAAGAGGAGGAGGTATAACGGCGGAGTAGTCTGCTGTTGCGCCGTTGAGGGGAGAAATATGAGGAGGAGGCATAGCGGCGGAGTAGTTTGCTACCACACCGCTGAGGGGAGAAACAAGAGGTGGAGGATTATGGACAAATTATTCTGCTGCTGAGCTATTGAGGAGAGAATCTAGAGGTGGAGGAAAAGAGTGGGGAAGGAGCACGACGACGAAGCAAGGCCGGCAACCAGCAGCAGCAGTTGAGGAGAGGAGAGAGGCGGAGGAGAGAGGAGATGAGGAGGGGATGAAGGGAGAGAGGAGAGGAGGAGGGTGAAGAGGCGGATGGTGTGGAGGGGTAGGACTCGATGAGCAGGGCTAAGAAACAAAGCCAGTAACCAGCGGAAGTAGCAGAGGAGAGGTGAGAGGCGGAGGAGAGAGAGAGAGACGGGGAGGGGAATGAAGGGAGAGAGGAGAGGAGGAGGAGGGTGAAGGGGCGGATGGTGCAGCTACCAGACGAAATCAGCAACCAGCAGTCGAGGTGAGGGAGGAGGCGGAGGAAGGGGGAAGGTCGTAGAGGGAATGGAAGGAGAGAGGAGCATAGGCGGAAGGGCAGGGCACGGTTGGCGACGGAAATAAGGGGCGCGCGACAGCGACACAGCCCGCACGCGACGAGGTGAGAGGAGGGGCGCTTAGGTGAGGGACGAGAGGCGAGCGGAAGAGGGAAGGAGGGGCGCGCGACGGTAGTGCAGGCCGCGCGTGACGGAAAAAGGGGAGGAGGGAAGCACGCGGGATGAGCGCAACAACCCTGGATGCACGCGACCCGAGGATAGGGTTGGGCGCGACTGCTGAGGGCGGATCCGCGATTTTGGGTAGAAAAAGATGGAAATCATGGGAAAAAATAAAAAGGTAAAATCGACTAGGTAAAAAACAGTAACGCAAAATAGGGCCTAAGATTTCTAAGAGATGTAGATGATGAGGAAACGCCTAGGATCACGCTCTGGATACCATGTTAAGGTAAAGCTAGAGGAAGCCATGGCTTCCATGAGAGAAGATAGCGAGAAGAATTATCTTCAGAAAGAAGTGTCGAGATACAAGTCTAGAATGGAATTGGAAACCCTAATTGAACTTAGGGCGGGTTCAGTTTGTACTATAGCAACGAAATGAACCTAAATTGAACCTGGAAGCATAACTCGCCCTAAGCATGGTGGAATGATAAGAGAACACCAAAATAAAGGCCAGAGCGAGCTCTAGACTACTCCAACAGGTGGTGCTGCAGGCGCTGGAGCTGGGGACCCTAGAGCTGCAGGCGCTGGAGCTGGAGACCCTGGAGCTGGAGGTGCTGGCGCTGTGGGTGCTGGAGCTGTCGGTACTGGTGTTGGATGCACTGTGCGGTGGCGACTGTACTTCGTTCCAGTGCTTCGCCAGGTTTTTAGTCTCCCGTCCTCTACTAACCTTACTCCACCTCTACTGTGTCCACTGCCTGACCAGTCGCAACCACAGTTACAACCAGCCTACCCACTGCCTGCTCCTCTCCATACACTGAGCAGACAGGCTCTTTTATAGGGCTTCGTGAGTCTGCGTCTCGTCCGCCTATTCGCGATGTTCGCACTGTTTGTCGTGTTCCGCGTCCGCGTCCTCCTCTTGTCCCCAGCACTCACCCTATGGCACTTCGTCCTTCCTCTGTTCCACAGCGTATCCCTCTGCCATCTCCTCCTGCGTCCTCTCTTGCTGACGGACCAGACCCTGAGTCTGACTTAGTTCATGCTGCCAGTCCTACTGTCACACGTCTTCTAGCCACTGTTGTCACTGACCAGTCAAGAAAACCAAAGCAAGCTCAGGGTGGATCACGAAGTCACCACACACTTTGAGCACAAGCAAATGGCCACAAGGCCAGTTCATATGTGGAGTTATATAAAGGACAACAAACAGTACAGTGATCACAACCTAGCAAGTGTAAGCATGTAGGTATATGTATATAGATCATAGTACAAGCAAAGACAAGAAGTGAGCAAGTGAGACCAAGTAGGCACAAGGCCTAAAACATTACAGAAACGCCGATGTTCACAAGGCTGAATATATCAGCAGTGTTGGCCTGAGAGGCCATGTAAGCAAGACAAAGCTGACCACGCTGCTGCAACTTTCGAGCAAGGAAGTAACGCAGAGCCATGTGCTTCGTCCTGTGCTCCAGTCTGTGCTCCTGACACAAGGCAATCATGGCCTTGTTGTCGATGTACACAACTGGAGGAAAACTAGGCGGCTTGCCCAGGTCAGTGAGCAGGTAGGTGAGCCAGCGTAACACCTGTGCAGCCATGGCCCATGCGTACTGCACAAGTAGCGGCCTCCTAGTGCTCTGGTCAGTGTCTCCTGGGCGCAACGTAGCGTGCCAAGATGCTGAGAGGGTCAGCAAGGTTAGGTCGAGTGCAGGTCATCAGGTAAATAAGGCAGCCCACAAGCTCTGGATTCAGGCCACTCGGCTCTACAGACTCGTCTCAAGGTGGAGCTAAGAGCGAGTGACTGGTAGGCAGAGGAGTGGACTGTGGCGATGACCAAGTGAAGCCGAAGCGCTGAAGGACCTGCTGCACCATGTGTGACTGAGTCAGAGTGATGGTGCGACGTGCGCTGTCCCGGGTGATCTGCAAGCCAAGATAGCTGCGCAACTCAGCCAGGTCTGTGCACGTGTGTCTCTTCTGCAGCTCCGACTTCACTAGGGCCAGTCCCTCAATGTCAACAGTGGCAAAGACCAAGTCTTCGATGTACACGAGGATGTAAAATGGCGGCAGCGAAGTGTCGGTGCGTAGAAACAGCGACGAGTCAGCAATCGAAGGAGCAAACCCAAGAGCTGCAGGCGTCATCCTCAGTGTGTCATGCCACTCGTGAGGCCCTTGGCGGAGACCGTAGACTGGCCGCCGGAGGCTCCACTGGGTACTTGCAGGAAACGACCCAGTGAAGTCAAATGGGCGGCGCAGCCAGATCTCCTCGTGCAGGCTGCCCTGTGAGAAAGCAATGCTGAAGTCAAGAGAGTGAAGCTCGTAGTCACGCTGAGCTGCGCCGTGCAGCAGCACCCAAAGAGTGTTCATCTTCGGGGTAGGGGAGAAGGTCTGGAAGAAGTCAAGTCTCTGTCGCTGACTGAAGCCTCCTGCAACGTAACACGCTTTGAAGATGGGCGGAGAACCTGGCGGCCGCTTCACCCTGAAAATCCACATGCCATCGACTATGTTCGCCCAAGGAGGTGGAACTGCGTTGACGTAAGTGCCTGTGGGTGTCAGCCACTTAGAGGAGTAGGGACCCAAAATCGCCTCTTGGTAGGAGCGCGCGGTCAGGATGTCTAGTCCATCCGGGTCTCCCTCAGGTGCAATCAGCATGGACATGAGATGAGGTATAGCATATGCAAAACACTCAAAGTCCTCCTGCCTGTCCTCAAAGACGTCGGTGCCAAGAGCACACTCACCCCCGACGGACGGAGGACAGACAGACTCAGACTCAGCAACAAGACTAGCGGCAGCAAAGTCAACAAGCTCAGCAACTACGGCAGACGCAGCAGTAGACTAAAACGAATGGTCAGTGACAACAGTGGCAAGAAGACGTGTGGCAGTAGGACTAGTAGCACGTGCAAGGTCGGACGTAGGGTCAGGAACGTCAGGAAGAGAGGACGCAGGAGGAGACGACAGAGGAGACGTTGTGGAATAGAGGAAGGACGAAGTGCTATAGGGTGCGTGCCAGGGACAAGAGAAGGACGCTGACGAGGAACACGGCGACAAGTGTGAATAGCGCGAACAGGCAACGCAGGACGAGACGCAAGCTCACGATGCTTTGTAAGACCTCTTGTCTGCTCAGTGTAAGGAGGAGCAGGCAGTGGGGAGGCTAGCTGTAACTGCGTTTGTGACTGATTAGGCGGTGGACACAGTAAGAGAGGAGTAAGGCCAGCAGAAGACGGGAGACCAAGAACCTGCTGAAGGAGTGGAACGAAGTACGCTCACAGCCGCACAGTGCCTCCAGAACCTGCACCAACAGCACCAGTACCCCTTGGGCCAGCACCTCTAGCGTCAGGGTCTCCAACTCCAACGCCTGCATCTACACCAGCTCCAGCAGCTCCAGTACCTCCAGTACGAGCACTTCCGGGACCAGCGGCTCCAGCACCTCCGCTACCTCCAGCTCGAGCAGCACCTCCAGCTCCAGCACCTCCAGCAACTCCGGTACCTCTAGCTCCAGCGCCTCCAGCTCCACCGCCTGGAGTACCACCGGCTCCAGCAGCTCCAGTACCTCGAGACGAGCACCTCCGGGACCAGCAGCTCCAGCACCTCCAGGACCAGCAGCTCCAGCGCCTCCAGCTCCAGGGCCTCCAGCGGCAGGCCCCCCAGCTCCAGCAACGCCACTCCGAAGGCTCCAACGTTGAGGAAACCACTCGCGCAGCTGCGGTGGAGAGAGAGGCTCCCGCCGTGACGAGGCACCCGTAGGACCTCCAGCAGACAAAGTACCTCGAGGCTCAGCACCCCAGGCTCAGCACCCCCAGGCATAGCACCCCTAGGCTCCCCACGCTCAGGCTTAGCACCCCCAGGCTCCGCACCGTCAGACTCAACAACCTCAGGCTCAGCACCCCCAGGCTCCACAGGCTCAAGCTCAACACCCCCAGGCTCCGCACCCCCAGGCTCCGCACGCTCAGGCTCAGCACCCCCATACGCAGCACCCCTAGCAGCACCACCCCCAGCAGCACCAGAGTCGACAGCTACCTCGACAGGCTCGACAGGGTCTACTTGGGACGCACCAGAGGGAGTAGGACCCTAAGGGGGAAGGGGGTCTACCGAAGGAGGACCTGGTGCAAGGAAAAGCAGCCGGAGGGGAGGGAGAGGGGCAGTGCGGTAGGGGAAGAGACGGTTAAAAGAAACCGACTTGTCAAAACGTGACGTCCTGAGAGGGCAGGACACGGCGCAAGGTGGGGTGGTAAAACTACTAGCCAGGCGCGTCAGGGGGAAAGCCAAGGAAGGCACTGAGAATGGTGCGGGAGGAGAGCTTGTCCGCGATGGTATCACGGACAAAGGCACGAGATCCCCAGACCCGGAACACAGACACATCACCAACCCCTCCCGTCCAATGCAGTGTCGGCAAGGTCTCTGGCAAGGAGACAGGGGGCAGAGGTTGAGCTGATGCACAGCATACCGGACCGCAAACGGTCACAGAAAATGGGGAGCAGCCACATGGATCATGAAGTTACGAGCAACCTCCATGACTGGGCCAATGCGGCGCTCAGCAACCCCATTCTGCTGCGGAGAGGCCGGAAGCTTGAACGACTGGGTGGTGCCCTCCCAACGACAAAAGTTCCGCAAGAGGTCGGAGGCAAACTTACCACCTCTGTCAGAGTGCAGACGCAGGACCGGAAGGTTCGTATCGAACCGCTCGCGGAGCTGGAGACGGACAGCGCGGATCTAAGGGATCAAAACATGAGGGTCCTCCCCCTTGTTGCGCAAGGGGAAGACCGTGGTGTAACGCGAGTAGTCGTCAACAACTAGCAGAAAGTACCGCTCGCGGCCCTGTCCACGGACGCGGCCTGGGCCCCACATGTCCATGTGGAGAGTGTGCGGGGGAGCAGTCGTCGGGGGAAACGAGGAGTGAGGAGCAGCACGCTGCCGCCCCTCGACACAGGGAAGGCAGGGAGGGGCAGGCGAGGGTGGGAGGGGAGACAAGGACCTGGGAAGACCAGATACAAGGAGACGGGAGTGCATGCCACGGAGGCGTGGCAGGGAGGGGTGACCAAGGCGGTGGTGCCAAAGGAGAGTCTGGTGCGACAGGGCGCGACACGAGCACGGGGCCGCATGCTGACCTGACGCGGACGCAGAAGCAGCTACCTGAGGAGGCTCAGAATTCAGTGTGTACAGACTCGACCCAGGCCGACGGGTGAACGTGGCCAGGTGACGGCGCGTCCATGTACACGTGCAGATCGACACAAGCTGGCCCCGAGGAGTGGTGGTAGTGACCATCGCATCCTGGATGGCAGCGGTACTCACCAAGTTCGTAGAGAACGAGGGGAGGTGAAGGCCTG